TTCCCCCCCCCCCTCATCCCCCGCCCCCCAATCGCCGCGGCCGCCCGCAAGGGTGACCGGCGGCCGTCCGCAAGGGCGAGGGTGATCAAGCGCCTCTTCGAAAACCCCTTCCTTCAATTACTCCTCAATTGCCCCGCCCCCCTTCCGCAGTCCCCCCCCGCGCGGCCGCGGGCGATCGAGCGAGCGAAGGAGGGCGAATAGAAATCAGCCCCCCCCCAAGGGGGCAAAAGCAGACGTCGGGGGGCGGGCGATTGAAAAAACAGTTTCCGGCGGCTGAATTCCACTAGTCCGCCCCGCTCAATCATTTTGGGGTGCCCGGGGGGGGGGGGCGATTTGTTTAATCGCCCCCCCCCCATTGCCTTTCCCCCCCCCCCTGTCGCCCTTGGGGCCGGCAGTTTGGAGCCCGAGCTGCGCTGTTCGAGGGTCCTCGCCTGCTCGCGCGAGCGCGAGCGCTCTGCGCGCGTCGGTTCGGAGATGTCGGCAGCGGCGCAGGGCGGCCACTAGAGTGGCGCCAAAAATGGGGATGAGAAAATGAATTTTTAATTTTTCCAATTCTATCGCGCTTCAACCCGGTAGACAACCCTGCGTTTTCAAAGGGAAACCATCGAATTGAACGATGAAAAATAGCATTGGGAACAGAAAGACGCACGCTTCATCTTTCAATTTTCGGCGCGCCCGAGGCGCGCGAGAGCGCGAAGATATGTCACCTCTGACGCAGCCCCTTCTTTCATCATGCTAAGAGTGCGCGCCCGCCTGGATCGGCGCGGCTGGAAGTCCGCAGACAGGGCGGCCCCCGCAGGGGGCGTCTGTGCCTCAGCGCCCCCCCCTCCCCCCCCACGTGCACCTTCCGCCCTTCCTCTTCCGCCGTCGCCATTCGGTCTCAAGCGTTGTCGGGCAAGCAGGAGCAGCAGTCGCATCGCGCACCGTGCCGCCGAAAATGGCGGCCGCCAAGCTCTCGTCCGCGGCGCCGGCTCCGGGGGAGCTTGCAAAAGCTCGTCGGATCTCGGCTCGGGCCCGGGCCAAATCGCCCCTGCGAACTAACGGCGACGTCGACCCTCTTGAAAATTAATAACATTGGCCCCGCTGAACTTTCGGATTCAGTAGTTTTTACTTCTACCTCCTCCACCTCCTCTTCCTCCCCCTCTCTTCCGCCCCCTCTTTTTGCCCTTCTCCCCCGCCTCCCCCCCCCCCCCGCCTCCGCCCCGCCCCCCCCCCCCCTCTTCCTGCCCAGGGCGTCGCCGTTGATCCGCAGCGTTCGATGCCGTTCGCCGCTGGGCGACGTGCCGCGGCAGGTCGAGCAGAACCTTCGAGGAATCAGTCTATGAAGCACTTCGCGTCGTTCAACCCTGATGTCGAGGCGTCCGCCGCCGAGGGGGCCGCGAAGGCCAAGTTCTCGGAGTCGTTCCTCGCGCGCCAAACGCGGTGCAAGGGCGCGTAGATGAGCGGCCTCGCCAGGAGGGGCATGACCGTCTCGAGGGCCGATGGGGGCCGAAACCACCTGGATGTCCCAGGAGAAGGTGGACTAGGAGATCGGAGAGAAGAGAGCAGGATTGCGGGGGGCTTGTGGGATGTCGAAGTCCAGGCCTGGTAGCCTGACGGTCCGCGCGGAACATGAGCGCGTCGAGTTGCCGGCGCCAGTTGATCGGCAGCGGATGTCGGGCGCAGAGATCCAGGAGTTCTTCATGAAAGTTAGCGGGGGGGGGGGGGGGGGGGGGGGGGGGGGGGCGATGGGGAGGGCTTGGGGGTACTCCTGGAGAAGGCTCCGCCCATGTCTGGCGCAGGCTCTCCTCGGGGCGGCGCCGTCGAGGTGAAGCAGGGGCCTGAGACCGAGTGCGCGACCGTGGCGAAACAGGTCGAGGCGCTCATGCCGAACGTGAAATATACGTCGTTGAAGTATCAGGACATGACCGTGGAAGCCAAGGTCATCAAGACTCAGGCCGGCGTGGGCAACGACGCGTAGATCGGCGAATTCGACGAGGACCTGGACAAGCACATCGCGAAACTCAGCGAGGCCGTCAAGATCTTGGACGCGCCGTGCACCGAGAGCGCCTCTGACGACGAGCTTCCTGAGCTCGCGGGGGTGCTCGAGACGATCGACGAGGGCGACGCGGGCATCGAGGGGCGGGCGATGATATTCGGGTTCTTCCTGGAGTCAGCCCCCTTGCCGAAACGCCGGAGGCGCCGCGGCAAGTCTGCGCGAGCGATGGGGCCCTTTTGCCTTCGCATCCTCAGACGCTTCTTGTCGCCAACCTTTCGGGGTTGAGTTGGCGCGGGAAGCTCCAGCGAGCTACTCTCGAGAGTATCGAGCGCCCGATGCCGCATCCAGCTAGACATCGAAGGCGTCGGTGCGAGCGGTTCGTTCCCTGAGTGGCACTGGACCCCGCCCCCCCGCCTCGTGCAGAGCGCGCAAGTTTGGAAGGGCCATCGGGGCCTTGGATCTTCAGAGTCTCGGGCGGGGCCTTCCACAGTCTATGGGTCGATAGATGGAGCCTGCAAGGTCTCGAGTGGGGCCATGGGGGGCCCCCTTGGGCGTCTCAGTTTTTCGCGGGACCTTCGGGTCGAAGTCTATCTTGGGGCCTGGGGCATGCGGCGACGATCGAAAAGACGAGCAGCATCATTCGCATCAGGGATAGCATCGATCAGAATAGCATCGACGCGCGCTGGTCGATCGACGATTGACGCGGAAATGAGAGACGCCAAAGGATGAGCACCAATATCAACGCGCACAAGACAACCAAACGAACCAGCAAACAAATGAGCGAGCAAACTATCAAACAAACAAACGAACATCATGCATCCGCAGACACGTTTGGCTCGCGGCTCAGTGTCTGACAATGCAGCTTCTCATCGCCCTTGCAGGCGCGCGTTCTGCGCGCTCCATGGTCAGGGGAACTGGCAGTCTCAAGCGTCGAATTGGCAACGAGGGCGAGAGCGGGCCAGCTCCCGAGGGAACGGATGGCCATGTTCGCCGCGTCGTGGAGGGGCGCGCTCTAGATTGACGGCGTCAGCGTCGCATGACGAACTACCCCCTCTGGCGCAGCAGCCGCTCACGATCGGCGCGAGGATGGACTGGGCAGCGGGGAACTTGCCATCGGTCAGCGTTCAGGAATGCGGAATGCGCATTCGCAGCTCAGCAACATGGAGCCAGCGGCATTGAAGATCTTGCAGCAGTTGGACCCTGTGGGAAGTGGCCTCAGAATCCCTCGAGGGATCTAAAGAGTGCATGTGGATATCCGGTTGGGCTGAACTGCCGATGAGATCCAGCAGAAGCGCGCCGCATCCCGTGATACGTCCTCGAAGACTGTTCAGCAGCGTGCGTGCACAGCGCAAGAGTATATGGGGCCAGCGAGCCGATGGGCCCGATGGTGGTCTTCAATCGTTCTGGGAATCGATGTCGTGCTCCGCTTGCGTTCGAACGCGTCCGCGCCTTCCCCGCGAGCTCTGGGCATGCCGCGTTCCGATTGGATTTCATGGGGGCGGGGGTGCAGTCTGCAAAGCAGATTCTATGCGTGGGCTTGCCTGGGGCTCTCTCGCATCCGTTGGCAAAACGATTCAACCGCGCTTCTTGTTCAGCGTGTCGCAAGTCAGTTATGACAGCGGACGCTCTCGACTGCTTACTTCTGATATTTGGGTGGAGCTGCAGCGCGTCGCTGATCGGTGAATGGCCTCCCCTGGATAGGAGAGATCGCCCCTAAGTGGGCGGCGGTGCGTCTCTTGCTGGAGGCGCCCGAGCAGGCGCGTGGCAAGTTCGCGGTGGTTGGCAGTTTTTTCACGGACATGTTTTCTTTTCCGCAATGGAATGAGTCAGATGTGATGTGCCCCTTCTGCGGTGCAAGTAATAAGCATCATGGCAGATCGCGGGCTGCTGCGAGCTCGGAGGCAGGGTGGCGCTCTACACGGTGGACACGCGAAGAGTGCATTCAATCTCGTCGGGGGGAAGGGCGCGCGATTCCAATCCTCTTCAGAGTTGCACTGGGCCTCGGGCTCGAATGCGTGACAGCGGGCGCATTGCACACCTGCGACTTGGGCATCGCGAGCCACGTTGTGCTTAATATAAGATTCCATGTCGCTCGCTGATACAACCAAACGAAATGCCCAAGTAGGCTTCACGGCCAATTTGCGATCGACCGCCCGAGGTCGACGGAAGGAGATTGGCTTCAGCTCGCTGGCAAAGCCGCGGCAATGAGAATGCTATCTCAGCGCGCTTTGGATATGATCACCCGCTTCCGCGGTGTTGGGAATCGCGCAGGCGATCCAGTCGCGGGCGTCGCTCAATGCATGAATCGTTTTTTTTTGTTTCTCGAGCTGCTGAATTCAGAGTCAATGTTCATGCAGCGTGGGCCCCAACGAGAGTTATCAGTGGTGTGCGAAATGCTTGCCTCCATTTGCGTCGGGCTGGCTTCGGAGAGCTTTGCAAAAGGTCAGTGCTGTTGGAAGCTAAGCCCGAAGCTACATTCATTCATGCATCTTTAGGTCCCAGAAATTTGGACCCCGAGATGTTTCTGGTCGCGCGGCGACGAGGACTTGGTGGGCAGGTTCGCATCCCAAGACGGCGCGCGTCAACACTTAATTCGAGTGGCTATGGTGCGTGTTTGACGATGTGTCGATGAATCCTCGGAGTTGAAGCGAGGCTGAGCGCAGCAACGAAAAGCGCATGCCAACGCATCCAACAACCTCGTGATCATCACAACCACCACCTGCATTACATAATCATTATCAGCTGGATCATTCAAAACACAAGTAAAACATCATCGCGTTCATCGCCAGGGAACCTATGCAACATCATCCACATCTCTAAGATTCTGGAGGCGCTTGATCGTCTTGTGGGGTGTGCGGACCGGGGGGGGCCCGGACCATGCAGTCCGGACCGGGGGGGGTCCGGGCCCGGGGAGGTCCGGACAGGGGGGTCTCCGGGAGGGTTTCGGCGCGGGGGTGTCCAGACAGGGGGGGGTCCGGACCGGGTGGGGTCCTGGCGCGGAGGGGTCTGGACCGGGAGGGGTCCGGACCGGGGGGTGGGCCAGACCGGGGGTATGGTCTGGACCGGGAGGGGTCTGGGCGCAGGGGGGTTCGGACCGTGGGGGTCCGGACTGGTGGGGGTCGGGGCACCCTCGTGGCCCATTTTGGAGCCGTTCTGGGTCCAACGACGAGGTCCTGGGTTTTGAGGGTCCCGGGGAGGGTTGGGACGTCCTGTTCGGTTCTCGTCGGTTCGATTCGGGGGCCCCCGTTCTGGTTCGGTTCCGGTTCTGGTTCGGTGCGGTTCCCCGAGTTCGGATCTGAATGAATTCGATTCGGGCCGGTTCGGTTTTTCCCAACCATCCTGTGGTGTTGGGTCCTCGTTTTGAAAAGACGTCGCCCCGCGTTCCTTCCTCCTCCTCCTCCTTCCTCCTCCTCCCCTTCCTCCCCCCTCCTCCCCCTTCCACACCCATTCTGGCACACCCCTCGCACGTTTCGTGGCCCCATAGGGAGCTCCACCGAAGGCCCCAGTGGCTGCGCCCGCATGCGGTTCCACCCCCCGTTCTGGCACACCCCTCACACGTTTCGTGGCCCCATAGGGAGCTCCACCGAAGGCCCCAGTGGCTGCGCCCGCATGCGGTTCCACCCCCCGTTCTGGCACACCCCTCACACGTTTCGTGGCCCCATAGGGAGCTCCACCGAAGGCCCCAGTGGCTGCGCCCGCATGCGGTTCCACCCCCCATTCTGGCACACCCCTCACACGTTTCGTGGCCCCATAGGGAGCTCCACCGAAGGCCCCAGTGGCTGCGCCCGCATGCGGTTCCACCCCCCATTCTGGCACACCCCTCACACGTTTCGTGGCCCCATAGGGAGCTCCACCGAAGGCCCCAGTGGCTGCGCCCGCATGCGGTTCCACCCCCAATTCTGGCACACCCCTCACACGTTTCGTGGCCCCATAGGGAGCTCCACCGAAGGCCCCAGTGGCTGCGCCCGCATGCGGCACCCCCCATTCTGGCACACCCCTCACACGTTTCGTGGCCCCATAGGGAGCTCCACCGAAGGCCCCAGTGGCTGCGCCCGCATGCGGTTCCACCCCCCATTCTGGCACACCCCTCACACGTTTCGTGGCCCCATAGGGAGCTCCACCGAAGGCCCCAGTGGCTGCGCCCGCATGCGGTTCCACCCCCCATTCTGGCACACCCCTCACACGTTTCGTGGCCCCATAGGGAGCTCCACCGAACGCTCCAGTGGCTGCGCTCGCATGCGGTGCCACCCCCCATCTCGGCACACCCCTCACACGCTTCGTGGGTGGCTCCATGGGGAGCTCCACCGAACGCCCCAGTGGCTGCGCTCGCATGTGGTTTCCCCCCCCATTTCGGCACACCACATAGGGAGCTCCACCGAACGCCGCAGTGGCTGCGCTCGCATGCGGTTTAATTTCGGCACACCCCTCACACGCTTCGTGGCTACATAGGGAGCTCCACCGAAGGCCCCAGTGGCTGCGCTGGCATGCGGTTCCACACCCCATTCTGGCACACCCCTCGCACGTTTCGTGGCCCCACAGGGGGCTCCACCAAAGGTCCCAGTGGCACTGCCCGCTTGCGTCCGCCACCACCCAGCACAGCCCTTGTTCCCTGCGCTTCACCCACCCAGAACAGCGCTTCGTAGCCCTATAGGGAGCTCCACCAAAGGTCCCAGCGGCACCGCCCGCATGCGTCCGCCACCACCCTGCGCAGCCCTTGCTCCCTGCCTGCGTTTCACCCACCCAGTACAGCGTTTCGTGGCCCCATAGGGAGCTCCACCGAAGGTCCCAGTGGCACCGCTCGCATGCGTCCGCCACCACGCAGCACAGCCCTTGCTGACCGCGTCTCACCCACCCAGTACAGCGTTTCGTGGCCCCATAGGGAGCTCCACCGAAGGTCCCAGTGGCACCGCCCGCATGCGTCCGCCACCACCCAGCACAATTGCGGCATTCACAACTGCATATGGTTGGGTCCTTCGCCAGGCTAATTGTTTTTTTTTGTTTGGGACCAGTTCAGTCCGGTCCGGTTAGGGTTTTCGGTTCTCCTTTCGGTTTGGTCCCTTCATGTGTGTATATGTGTATATATATGTATATACATATATATATACATATATATATATATGTATATATATATATATGTAGGTACACGTACATGTCGACATATTGTTCTCGACCGTTCCTTCCCCCCACACCCATCCTCATTCGGGGGTGGGGCGGGGCCCAGCCCTGCCCAAGGAAACCGTGCGGCTCCGCCACCCAGGGGGGGTCCTATGGCCGATCATGGGCGCGATGCAGCGCCGACTCTGGCCGTGTGTGGTCTCTCCTGAGCGAGCATGGTCCCAGATCTGCGACGACATGATCGGATCCGGGCTTTGATCCTCGATTATGGTTTCTGCTGCCCATTATCGGGTCCTGGACCATCAAATTTGAATTTAGGACGAAACACACTCCCCAGGGAAGGGGTCGGGACCTCTGCCCCCCCCTCCTCCCATTAAAAACACACACCCCAATGGCAGCAAAGGTCAACAGGCAGGTCGAGTAGTAGTTTTTCGGCTATGGTTTTACGGTGCAGCCAGGACAGAGGAAAGAGAACGGCCATGTGCACCTTAGTGCAGTCTTCACGAGGGCTCGTAACCGTCGAGGCCAAAGATGTAGCCAGCATTGAGACAAGAGCATGATTCTCGAGTAGATTATGAAGACCTCTGAGGCGAAACCGCTGGCGGACTGTCAGCTCTGGACCGGGCAGTCTCGTCTCCTTTGTGGGTTTCTTTTGTTGTTAGTTGTCAATTAGTTGGAGCGTTCTAGCGAAACGCTATTAAGGAAAAGTTGATCCGGGACGGAAAACTACCCCCCAGAGAGTTGGGACCTTTCGGGATCGCGAAAACATATCGGAGGAAGTTTGGGATCGAGCCACCCCCTGCGGCAGTTTGGCAAACCGCGCAAACTTTTGGTACCCCGGTCTCCTGTGCCTTTGGCCGCCTGCGCATTCTTTGTGGCGAAGACCACTTACGCCTGAGGCCTCCTCCCGCGTTGCTCCTCCGCGGCCGCCCTCCCATTCCCCAAGAGTCGCACTTGTGTGCCCTGGTTCTGGCGCGGCCCGCCGGCTGCCCGAGCGCGTTGGCGCTCGACGCCGCGGCTGACCAAAAATGCGGGGCCCAGGCGCTGAGACCGCTCCTAGCTGCACTGAGGGGCTCGCTTCCCTTCCCCCTCCCCCTCCTCCCCCTCCTCCTCCTCCTCCTCCTCCTCCTCCCCCTCCTCCTCCTCCTCCTCCTCGTCCTCGTCCTCCTCGGCTTCCGGGCTGGTCCTCGGGCCCAGCCCGGGGGGGCGTGCTCGTGGCCGAGGCTCCCGCCATGGCCGGGAAAGAAGAGCCCCTTCGCTGGCGCTCCTCGTGGCACGTAGGCCTCCCAGGTGAGGTCCGAGCAGATCTGGTCGGAGGGCGGCGCACTGTCGCCGATGCTCATCGGCTTTGCGGCTCGATGCGGCGCCGATGCATTGCCGAAGTCGCCGACGCATCGGCGATGCATCGGCGATGCGGCTCGAAGTAGAGCCCGATGTTCTCCACGCCCGCCGATGCAGCGCCGAAGTCGCAGATGCATCGCCGATGTGGCGGGATCCTCCTTCCCCGTCATCTCGGACCCCATGTGGGAGGCCTCTACGTGATCGTCTTCCTGCTCACCCGCCACCTCCTCCTCCTCCTCCTCATCTTCTGTACGCAGCTCCCCTTTCCCGACTGCGCATAACACGATATGAGTCTCCGTTTGAGTCCAGGTCGGCTATGACAAGCGTCCGCGGATGGAGCAAAAGTGAGCGCAATGGGCAGGGAAGGGAGAGGGGGATAGGATGCCAGGCATGGCGCGAGCGCCCCTAGCTTGATGTATTCCCCTCTCGCCCTCACCCCCCCTCCCATTCGCCCCCCCTCTGCGACGGCGTCAGGAAGGCCTGCCACGCCGGCCTCTGCACGCCTCCAGCTGCCCCACCGCGGGGCTCGGCCGATCGCCGGCCTCGGGATCGCGGCGCTCTCCAACATGGCCGCCGCCTGGCTGGAGATCAGGCGCCGGCACACGGAGTACCTGTGCCCCGCCACGTTCGCAGTGGATGTCTTCTCCAAATGTGCACCAGGGTACGGCGACGACGGCGAGTCGGGAACCCGCATGAAGGACATCAGCGCTTTCTGGATCTTTGTGCCCTTCACCCTGATCGGCATTGCCGAAATCCTCGTCAACCCTTGCCTGTACTGCCTGGCGTATGAGGCCGCTCCTACGCAGGTGCGATCGTTAGTTCAAGCATTTCAACTGTTCTGCTCGGGTTGTCTCTCCAACGCTTTTACGGCTGCGGTGATGAGCGCCACCTACCCAGACGATTTGGACACAGGTCATCTGGAAAGTTATTATTACATCAACGTCATACTTGCTCTGCTCTCAGTAGTGCTTTATTTCTGGCTCACGCGATGTTTCCGCCACGGCGAGGAGATCAAGCCGCAGGCTTCGCTAGAGCTGGAAGTGGCTGAGAGGCCCTCAGATATCATGGACAGGGTGAGGACTCGGGTCACCGACCGTGATGATGCTATGATGCGTGTAAGGAGCCAAGCCACAGGTCGTTCTGGGTTTTAGTTGCCAATTCGCAATTTCGAAATCGTTCGATGCTGCTGCTTTACTAAGCGGTCGGCAGGAAATCGTTTAATGTACTTGGCTGTCCCAGCTTGGGCTACAGGATACGACCGGCCAAGTACGATTGGAGCGCGCCGCCACAGGTGAGCTGCACCAATGCCCGTAGTCTCACGAGGCATAGAAATAGAGCACGTCTCCACAGGCGACCTCTTCCAATGCCCGTGGTTTCTCGAGGCATAGGCATGTACACATCGCCTGCGCTCTGGTTGTCGCGTGTGCGTGACCACTAGCTGGCTATCACGAAATTTACTCTGGGGCAGAAAAAGCTAACAGCGGAATGCGCGTGCGGCAGCATCGATGCAGCATATATTCGTTGCAGCTGCCGCCGTCTTGTGCCAGCGAGTTCAACTGACCTCCAGGGCCCTTGCGTTGACAGAGTAATTGATGAGGTGCTTTGTTTGTGGGCCCAGAACCTTCGAATTCATCGCTCGGTCGCTCGAGTGGCTGCTCGATCGCTCAAGCTGTCCCAGGGTTGCTTGCCTGGGCAGGTTTGGGGGGCATCTGTGTCAGGCACTTACGCGCAATCGTCTTGGCAAAATCGGTTGACGCACGATGAACCACTACACAAACACACACAGACACAGACACAGACACACACACACACACACACTTTTTGGCGCCGCAGCCCCGCGTGCAGCGTCGAGGCGTAGAAAGTCGGGAAACGAGACGCGCGCGGCCGGCCCAGGTCACGCGGCATAAACACACACACACACACACACACACACACACACACACACACACACACACACACACACACGCAAACCCGCACACACTTTTGAAGTCGGCGGCGCAGAGGAGCCTCGGGCGCGGGCAGCAGATGACGGTGCCAACTTCAGACGGACTTAGCTGAAAGAACAGCAGCACGAAGCGTCGCACGCTGTAAATTGCAGAAGATGGGTGGTGTAGTGATGGGACTGTGACCCCAAAAGCGTGTAGCGGCCACAAACACGCACACATGCACAAGCACACACACACGTGCTACGCTAACTTGTATATCCGGCTGACTGCGGCAAACTCCGGCACCGCGCCAACGTGGCAGTGGAGCAGGAAGGAGGGTGAACATCCGTTCCAGATCAGTGCCTTGTCTGGTCTGGGTCTGGTTGTTCTCAGCGCAGTTCTCTCCCTCGTCCTTCATCTTGCAGCATTCATGGCGGCTTCTTCGGGGCCTCTTGACAGAATTATTGTGGGCCTCTCGGGTGCCCGCTGGGGACGTATGGGCAGGTCTTGGGGCCGTCTTGGGTCCCTCGTGGGCCGCCTTGATTGGTTATTGCGCCAGCTTGGGACCGTATTTGGAGCTTCTTGGAACAATATTGGATAGTCCAGTGTGCTTCTCGGGGCTCTCTGCCAGTTTCCTGTTCGGAAGTGAAGCCGGGAAGCTTCGGAAGCAACAACCATTCCAATCCCGTAGGTGCTTGATAATGTGTTTTCTCCTGGGGTCTCGCATGAGGACTCTTTGGGTCCCTCTTGGGGCCTTATTGGTGTCTCTTTGGACCCATCTTGAGGACATCTTAGAGCTTTGGGGTCGCTTGACCATCTTAGGCTTGTCTTCGGACATCTTGCAGCTATCTTGGGTCGGCCCCTGGCTAACTTGGAGCAGCCTTGATGCCGAGAACGGCGCCAACCAGCCAAACCAGGAGACGATGTTCGGAGGTGTATGCGCTGAGGGGGGACCGCCTTTTGTAAATTGCAAAATCTCCATCAGGCAACCGACAAGCATTGCAACATTGCACCATCGCGCAAGCGCGATGGCGGATTCAAAACACATATGCGCATTCAGGCATGCATGCACGCATGCAATCATAAAGTGCACCATGCTGAGACGCACTTCAACGGAACGCTCACTTTGTTATGAAGAGTGTAGTGTGTACGCAATCAATACCACTGTTCCCCAAGACAAGCGGGGAATCGTACTTGGGCGGTGTCTGACTATGTCAGCTCACACGGCCCAAAATATTTGCAGAGTCTTTTGCCTCCATGATCTTACTCTTCGAAACCATGACCGCACAAACAAACGTCACCATCGTGGCGATCACGATCTCAGAGCCACCACATGCCACCATTGAGCATAGCTACTGTGACTCAGCGCATTGCCGTAGGTCCCCACGCGAACAACAATGAAGGGCCCAGCCGCGGCGATGATCGCTCTGGCCATTGCTGCTGCGGTGTTGCCGTGCAGCGCTCGCATGGGCACAGAGGCGAGCTGCAAGGAGCAGAGCCGCTTCGACGTCATCATGTGCAGCTCGTGGATGTGCACGGAATGCGACCTGCAGTGGTGCATGGAGAAGTGCCAGGAGGTCCAGACCAAGTTCGCCACGTGCGCGTGCGAAGGTTGGGTGGCTGGTACCACCTACAGCCAGAACATGAAGCACGCGGGCAAGTTCGGGGACGTCGGCGAGTATGGCGCGGGAGAGTTCAGCTGAGCCACAGGGGGTATACACAGTTCCTTTGCCCGCTCTCCCGAGCCAGTGTTCTGCGCACGGGCTTCTCCGTTGCAAATCGGCTGGCGCGCAGTGCAGGACCTGTTCGATCCTCTTGGACACAGCTTGCGGGAGGCTTGGAAAAAAATGTTTCGGAGAGCTCACCTTGTGCATGTTGGCCCCTCGCGCCCCTCGCGCAGAAGAGTTGGCATTTGTCGTCTGTCGGTGCCGGCTGACGCCATCATGTCCCTCCACTTGCTCCTTTCCCCATTTTGCACCATGCATTTTGCATGCCATGTGCCCCCATCCATGGTTCGGGGCTGACGACCTGCCTTAAGAGCAAGGATGGCAATGCACGCACAAACATGCCTTTCCCTCTTGTTGCATCCTGCCCTTCCGTCCCGTACCACATCCGTGGTGTCTTCTCATGGGTTCTGATCACCGCGGTTGCCCTCACCATGGGTGGTGCCGACACCCCTGTATCGGGGGTAGTTGACCCCACAGCCGGTGTGCACGGGAGTGGTGAGCAGACAGGGCCTACGTCCTGGCCGTATGCCGCCGCGGTTGGCACCTCCGGTCGGGAAGCTTAGCTTCTCGCTCGGTGCCGTCGTGGTCAGTTTCGTAACAGGGAGAAGTTACAGGGACGAGGAGAAGGGCGAAAGCAAGGACGAGGTAGAGGAGGGTGAGGAGGACACGGCATGATCTATGAAGGTGGCGGAGGAGGCGGCGGAGGTGGAAGGGGGGCTCAGCCCCAGGTGGCGCGGTCTTATCACAAGACCGCATCTATGGCGTGCGCTCTTCCTCCAAGGGCTTGGCATGTGCAGATTCTTCCAGTCGTCACTGTCGCCGTCGCCACCTCTGCCTGCGAGACCGTGGCCCTGGCAGCGGGCCTTCGTCAGCGGCGTCACCTCTGCCCGTCATCTGAGCTGCACTCTCTCCGCCCTCCCTTCGCTGCGCCCCGCCCCGTTCCAGCAGTCGCGCTTGCGTCGCTCGTGCTCGCTCTCGAGGCGCAGTCGGCAGGCCAAGCGGTGCGGATCCCGAGCCAGCATGGCCGATGCCCCGATTTGCGTCACTCTTTCCCAGGTGCCTCGTTGACAACGACTACATATCTAGACGTCGCCATCAGGCAGGCAGCTAGTGCCACTGTGTAGACAAGATCTGCAGCAACTGTACTAAAACAGCTTGGCATGGGCTCTCAGCGATACATTTTCTCGCTCCTGGGTGTGCAGAGCTGGCGTGATCCACACGTGCTTATCCAAACAGTGCTTGCACTTAGGGGTTCTTGCTCCCCCATCGACCAGCAAGGAGGATCCCTCGACCGCGCTACTTCTCAGCCTGCCAAGCGCATGAAGAATCGCCAGCACGGCGGGAGAAAACGAGTCGGGCACAGGGTGCCGCTCAGTTTGCGGTCACGAGCTTTGGCTTGGCGTATCGCGCCGCGGGCTCTGGCCCAAGTTTCGGCTCGACACGCTAGTTTCAGTCCCCAGGCATCAACGCCCCGAACTTTTCCGCGCTTCCTGCCCCATGGAGCGGAGCGACGAGCCATCCGCCCGCAAGGCATGACGAGCCGCCAGGGCCGCCGCCACGACACGCTAAGCAAACATTCCCGACGTGTCCGTGCTGCTGCAGGGCCCCGCCCATGGCGTGTGCCATGGGTGCTGCCGATTTCACGGTGATTCCGCACGGTGCCGCCCTTCAGGAGCGAAAGGAGGACGTACACGTACATGAATCCACGTTGGTTTCGAGAGTACGCATTGCGGGAACATTCGGATCACGCGGGCGGTTTCGCGGATTCGGGGACCGTGTTCATGCACATGGTTGGGCGCGTACGTCATTTGTGGGCTCCCTAGCCCCTGGGGCCCCGCATGGGTGCCGCTGACTTGTTCGGTGCGCCCACGGGTTGCGCCACCAGTGCCACCGATTTTGTCCGGTCTGGCCATGGGGCTGGGCCGTGATTTCTCTTTGGTACGGCCACAGGGCTTTGCCCATAAGGTTGCGCCGTGATTGCCGTTGATTCCCCCCGCCAGTCCTTGCATTTGGAGCTCCGAGCTTCTTCTCCAGACAGTGTTTCCATTGGGGGCCCATGGCTGATCTTGAGCCAGGGCCCCGCGCAGCGTCGATGTTTCGGTTATGGCCATCGGTTGCCCCATTCTTGGGCTGCGCCATAGGTTGCGGCCGCGTGGGGGAGGTGTTTCTGCGCAGCCATGTGGTGCGCCCATGATCTGCGGCATGAGATGCGGTCACGTGGCCTAGATGCTTCGGCATAGTATCCAAGACGCCGACGGCGAACCACCTCCGCCCCCTGCCTTTCTGGAAACGCATATGTTAGGCCAAAGTCTGCCCAAGCTATTGGACTATGTGGTTCCCCACCGTTCTGGAACCCCTTGGGGGGACACCTGGAGGAGGAGGAGCAGGAGGAGGAGGAGGCGAAGGAGGACGAGGAGGAGGAGGAGGAGGAGGAGGAGGAGGAAAAGGAGGAGGGGAAATGGAGGAGGAGGAGGAGGAGGAGGAGGAGGAGGAGGAGGAGGAGGAGGAGGAGAGGAGGAGAAGGAGGAGGAGGAGGAGAAGGAGGAGGAGGAGGAGGAGGAGGAGGGGGAGGAGGAGGAGGGGGAGGAGGAGGAGGAGGAGGAGGAGGAGGAGGAGGAGGGGGAGGAGGAGAGGAGGAGGAGGAGGAGAGAGGGGAGGAGGAGAGGAGGAGGAGGAGGAGGAGGAGGAAGAGGAGGAGGGAGGAGGGGAAGCCTCTTAGGGGCCCTTTTGGAGCCTCCTGAGGGCTTTCAGGGGGCCTCTGAGGGGCCTTTTGGGGGCGTCCTGGGGCTTCTCAGAGGGCCTCTCTGTAGGGCCGTCTTGAGTGCGTCGTGGGCCGTCTTTGGGTCATCTTGGCTCGTCTTGGGGCCCTTCAGGGGGCTTCTGGGGCCGTCTTGTGACTATTGTTGAGGCCTCTGGGGCTGTCTTCGGTTGTCGGAGGTCCGAAAAAAAAACGAGAACTCGGAAACCATGAAAAAGCCTAAAGAAAGTTGGCCTCCTGGAGGTCCCCATGGACCCCTCATGAAACCCTGTTGGGCCGTATGGGAGTCATATTGGGTCATCTAGGATGTTTTGGAGGCATCTTGGGACCATCTGGGACTTTTTTCGGGGAGTCTTGGAGGTCATGTTGGGCCATCTTGGCCGTCTTGAGATAGTTTGTCTGGAAGTTGCGGGTTCGCACGGGTCTTCCGTATGGCTGGAGGCATGCGCCGATCAAATAATAGCACGCCAAGCACCTTCATGATCAGCACAGCGGGCGGCGGGTTTAGTGGCCGTCGTTCCATCCCGCAACCTTGCCTGGGTTGTAGGTCAGATGCCTCTTGGATGCTGTTGGGCTCTCTTGGGAGACCTCTCCAGGGCTTCTTGGGGCCTGATGTGGGCCTCCTGGAGTTGTTGGGGCGCCGAAAATCAGTACCGCGTACATTTTGTGTCGTAGGACTGTTGTATTCCAGTTTCTTTAGTTGCATCGCGACTCGATCATGGATCTCAGAGTACGACTAATTCAGAAAGGGTACAGCGACTTGATGCGAATGACCGCCAGAGAGTTGCCAAACGAGCAAAACTATGATCACGGGCGCCACGTGTGCAAATGCCGTCGCTATCATGATGGACACTGGCATTTGGCGTAGCTATTTTGGCTCAGTGTGTTGTCGCAGGTCCTTGCGCTAACAACAATGAAGGGCCCAGCCGCGGCGATGTTCGCTCTGGCCATTGCTGCTGCGGTGATGCCGTGCAGCGCTCGCATGGGCACGGAGGCGAGCTGCAAGGAACAGAGCCGATTCGACGTCATCATGTGCAGCTCGTGGATGTGCACGGAATGTGACCTGCAGTGGTGCATGGAGAAGTGCCAGGAGGTCCAGACCAAGTTCGCCACATGCGCGTGCGAAGGTTGGGCGGCGGGCACTACCTACAGCCAGAACATGAAGCACGCGGGCAAGTTCGGGGACGTGGGCGAGTATGGCGCGGGAGAGTTCAGCTGAGCGCTTAGGGATGCCAGCACACCGTCGCCATCGCACACAGGAGCTCGAATTGGCCACTGCCCGCCCTCATCCATCTTCGCCATTCAGCTTCTCATCTTTCTCATGCTGTGTGACACCGTCCATTGTTCATGGCTGCGCTTCTCTAGCGCACCGTGTCATCAGCGAGGGCAGTGTGAGTGGCGGTGCACGGCCCGCCCTTGCTGCACTCCTGCTCCTATCTCCGTCACGTGCTACGGTCCTCGTTATCGTGGCAACCGACGTGGGTGCCCCCGACTCGTAGAGCAAGTTTTATCCTCTCGCGATAACGGCCGTTATGCCAGGGGGGGGAGGGTGCCAGTCGCGTCACGATTCGCGCCGGCACCGTCAGGGAATCCGTTACCCCTGGCCATTCCCAGGCGGCGCCGGCGCGAATCGTGACAGTACCGGAGGGGTGGGGTGGAGAGAGGGGCTTCCCATGTAACCCACGTGATTACGAATCCCTGTTTTCAGTGGCCAGAGTTATTGAAACTCCCATCGCCGATGGTGGCACCCGCGCCTCAAGGGTTCTAGACTCCGACCTGGCGTGGACTGCGCTTCTCGGTGGCCCACAAAAAAGGGTGGGGTCAGAGGGGGTGTCCTCGAGGGCATGGCGCGCCCACGGCCTCTTCTGATAGGCCTTTTTGCCTTCACAGGATCGACGCAGAAAAAAGAAGCAGCACGAGCTTACAACTTTCGAAGGTCCGCGCGGATGTCTTGGATTAGCTCTGGACCTGTCCCAGGTTGCACCCTCTCTCAAGGCGCCCTACACTCGTCTGGGACTCCCAGGCAAATCCAACCGTGGCGGGGAAAGTACCCCTTGCTCTTCTTCTGATTATGATAACTGTTTGTAGCACCATTGTTTTTTCTATTAGTAGTCGTATTATTGTATGTTACCCTTCCTATGTTTTATCATTCGTGGTGTATGCTGAGTGTTCTTACTAATCGCGCCATTAGTATAGGCGCATTCTAATTATTGTTGTCAGAATTAGTCGTAACACCATTATGATGAGTCATATTCGTACGATTCAGGTGATTCGTATTGTTAGTCGTGTTATTATAGTTACTGGTAGTCCCCATCCTCCTCGTCCTCTTCTCCTCCTCCCTCCCCCTCCTCCCCCTCCTCCTCCTCATCATCATCCGTAGAAATTTGGCTCAAGGTTTTGAGTTCCCCAGAGGACAAAGTGGATACCGCTAGTCCGCGGCCAGTTATTTTGCAGTGGGCCTTGTTGCCCAAGTCAGGATCGGGGCACCCAGCTGGTGCCCCGACGTCTTCTCATCCAGTCTCGGCGGCGGATGGCATCCGAAGACCTTCAGTCGGCACGCCCAGTGGCGTCGCGAGGCGGCGGAGGATTGGTGGTGCAAGTGTAAGTGGTGCACGCATCCAGTGACGGGACAGAAATGGTGGTCGAAAGCAAACACGGTAGCGCCTGGAACGTGTAGGACGGCTAGGTCAGCCAGCTTCCCCCACGCTCACCCGCACCCATCGCCAGTCGTCAGGAAGGGAAAAAGGAAGTTTTTTTTTTTTTTTTTTTGTTTTTTTTTTTTTTTTTTTTTTTTTTTTTTTTGACCGCCATGGGTCAATACTAAGATGGCGGAGATGGAGAAGCAGCTGGCGGCGGCCAGCGCCAAGACCGCCAGTCTCCCCTCAGGGGCGTCGCAAGGCGCGGATGCCAGCAGCATGAAGGTCGACGACGGCAGCCGCTTGGCGTCTGCACACGACGCCACCACGACCACAAGTAAGGCCAGGTTGGAAGAGATCGACCGTTCGCTCAAGCCCATCGTCGGCGTGCAGGAGCCCATGTTCGAGAGCGCTCGCGGCATACTCGAGGCAGAGCGACAGAAACTGCGCGCGGAACTTGAAGCGAACAACCGTCACGAGCGCAGTTGCGCACCATATCGCTCCAGTTTGCGAAGCTGCGGCAAAAGAAGTTCAAGCGCGAGGGGACGTCCGCCGCATTTCAGGACTGCTTCGGGGAGGCGAAGCGCAGCGTGCAGGAGCAGGAGATGGCGACTGTGGAAGTTGATCGCCCCATCATTTCTCTGACCGAGGAGCAGGCGCACCTGGCCGCGCCTATTCCTCGGGCGCCTGCGGATGGCAAGTCTACCGCGGACGACGTCATCGAAGCGCTCGGCAACGCGGTCAGCAAGCTCGCGGCGGTGCTCGGCAAGCTCGACGACAATGGCTCGCTGGCGGCGCGCCTGGGCGCCACGCTCGAGGATGCCGAGGCTCTGGGTCTGCGGGGGGGGGGGGGGGCAGGGGGAAAGCTGCTACAGCGGCTGCCGCGGCCAAGGAGGAGGCAGGCACCCGTCAGCCAGGCACGCCGCCACCACCGGGCCAAGCTGAGGCAGCGACCGCTGGGCCGCGCCGCCCAGATCCTGAGTCAGCCCCAGAAGATGAGCTTCGAGAGCTCCTCAGGAAGTCCGGCAGCGCAGCCCAAAGTAAGGCGGCAGATGCAGAACTCCGAGGGTACGTCCGCAATGTCAGCGAGTCGACTGGAGAGCGGCGCGTCTCCAAGAGGCCTCGCATGGAGAAGTGGGATCGGCATGGGGATGATGATGATGGCGCAGGTCTTCGCTTGGCTGCAGAAATTCGCAGGCCCTAGGTCGCTAGGCATCGCGGCGGGCAGTTACATGCCAACCTCTTGCCGCAGCAGGGGGACCGCGCGGAAGCCAGTGACATGGGGCCGCCAGGTAGATCGCAGGCCGAGCGGAGCGATGGAGGGCGCCCCCCCCGCCCCGCCCCCGCGCAGGCTAGAGCCCGTCGGGCTCGGGCCGATCGCAAGCGCCGCCCCCATGCCAGATATGGGGGCCAGGCTCGCCCGAGAGTGGGCGGGGCTGGCGCCGCGGGCGCAGCGTCGTCGGCTTCAGTTGCACGCGCAGCGCCAGGCACGCGCCCCTCGTTGGCGCCGCTGGCGGCGCGCGATCTGGCGAAAGGTGCGCTGGTCAGCCTCGATTGGTCCGAGGGGGGGCCAGATGTTGCGCTTCCTCTTATCTTACAATAGCAGTATTGCTGCGTCGCAGGAGCACCGCGCTCCAGCGCCTAAACTTCCAGGCGCTCAGCATCGAGCCTCGGGCGCAGGATGGCGAGGGATTTGGGCGGCAGACAGAGGCGCTCGCAATCGGAATGGTGCCGAGGCTGGATTGGCCATCGCAGCTCATGTCAACGCCTCTATCACGGCCCCACCGCACCTGCAGTCAGCTCAGATGGCGGACGGCAGAGCATTGGTAACCCAAGTGCGTAGGGGGGTGCCAGGTGGGATGGTTACGATGTCAGTGCATCTCCTTGTCGGCGAGTCGATGTTGGAGCGCAGCGTGAGGATGTGGAGAGAGATCGGCGGCTGCGCAGAGGCCCTCAACCAGGTCGGCGCGGATTGGGTCATCACGGGCGACTTCGACATGGGGCGCGGCGAGATGGGCGAGTTGCAGCGGTTCTACGGCCCGGGAGGTGAGACGGCGCAGCCGCCGGTCTGTGCGCGCCGTCAGTCGCCGCCGGGTCGGAAGATAGAGCACCGCGTGATGTCGACTTATCTATTTCCCCGTGCGCGCCGAGGTCTCGCGCCGGAGGATGTTGAGACGCTCGAGCATATGCCCGCGGTTCACCTTGCCCTGGGGAAGGATGTGGTGCTGATGGTTCGCGTCCTCAGAGGGCGTCGCCAATTGCCTCGGCAGCCCGCGGCAGGATGCCACCGACCTCCAGTGAGATGGGATGCGGAAGAGCTTCTTCTTGGCAGCGCGCATGATGGCATTTTCAATCGGGGGTGCACGAGTCGCCGCGGTGGCGCAGCTGGATCTTGAGTTACTCGGACGGCGCGATTTGGACGATGAGAAGGGGGCGAGTTGTCGAGGGCACGCCGGGCCGATACAGCTCGACGCTGCCAAGTTGAGACGGCAGTCGCCATTGAGAAGAGGCGGGCGGGAGGTCGACGCGCGATCGGGCCGCCGGGGCGGCAGGGCGATGGGCCCGCAGCATGAGGAGGCACAAGATGGCCATCATTGTTAAGGCCTCGGCGCTGCCCCTGCAGGTCGAAGCTCCTCGTTGGAAGGCTTGGGCGCCGAGGGTTTTGGCAGGCTGGAGAAGCTTTTCTAGGACATCGCAAGCTTCCTTGAGAATGTCAAGAGATCGCTGCTCATCAGGCACCTAGACCACGACATCGCACAGCTCTTTGGACGAAGCGTGGAGTGCGCAGCGAACAGAAACGCCGACGGCATGCTCGACCGCGTCGAGAGCCTGGCATGGCAGACCAGGCCCAAGAGAGGCAGGCGGCAGCCGTCACCGCCGCCTGGAAGCATAGGCCAACATTAGCTCTCAAGAATTGAGCTCGTTTCGCATGTCGCCACGCGCGTGGGCGAGCGCTGCAGGAAGTTCTCGATCACGCGCGCTTCCAGGCAGCGAAGCGCAGCCTCATGAGATGGCGGATCGCGCGATGCAAAATTGGAGCCGCATTTGGTCCGCGCGCGACATGTCAGCGCCTGCGTTGCCGCCCGGAGCTAGCCCATGAAAAAACGCCCCCTGTGCACGCTGTTGTCGATTAGAAACAAGCCATCTTTCAACTTCCTGGGGGCACAAACATGGGGCTGTTCGAGTTCGCGCCTAGGTCGCTCACCTTCGCGTCGGACCCAGGCCTCGAGACCGCGGCCCAGCTTCTCGCGAAGCGTGAATCGCTTCTCTCGTGGCCCCGAGTGCGCTCGCTGACCCAACTCGTCAGATTGCCGGAACCTTCAGGAGGGGTTCGGCGAATCGCAGCGCGTGAAATTCTCATCCGAAGCCGGGGCCGAGCTCGGAGGCCTCTCGCAGCGATGTGGGCGCCCACAGCCCCTCGTGCTCGTGCGGCACAGGTGCTGGGCGCCCCTCTAGTGACAGTATTCTTTGGTTGACCGTGACGCTGACGTGGCGCGCGAGTTTAACGAAGATACCTTCACCGTGTTTTTAGAGATGCTCAAATGTTACAACATGGTCAGCCCCTTGGCATTTTGGGGGGAGGCTCGAGCAACGGGTCCCCCCTTGAGGCTCGCATGGGTGACCATTCAGAGCTACCGCCCAAAGCTATGGTCGGGCCCCCAGAGCTTTCGGCGGCCCCTCCTTCCCCGCCGCCCCCCCAGAGGTGCTCGGTGGCCACCTCGGCGTTCATGGCGCCGTCGCATCGCAGTCTCACTCGAGCGCAGGAGGTCCACGAGGGGCATCACGCCTCGGCCTTACAGACTACACTAGCTCGCACCAGTCTGGGGAGCGGGGAGCTGGCGGGGGCGGGGGAGGACCCGAGCGCACTGGTCACTGCGGTTGCAAGTTTTGCAGCGACGCGGCACCTCTCGGGCTGATTGTTCAGGCGAATGAGAGTGGGCTTGTTGCCAACAGTAGTAAACTTAAGCGCAGGCCCCTCCGTATCATGGGCCCTATCCGGAAAGCGCTCGACGCGCAACCCTCGACGCGAGACGCACGGTTCTAGAGTCGCTATGGTTCAGGAGAAGGCTGGGCTTCGAGCCTTGCAAGCCAGGCGTAGAACGGCACGGGGCCTCCGCCCAGCCATGACAGAAGCCGCCAGGAGCCTCTGGAGGACGGGGCTGCCCCCAGCTGCTGGCCGCGGGGTTGGGGTCTCAGGGGCCTTGGGCGCCGCTGCAAGAGAGCTCCGCACGCTTGCTAGCGGCATGGTTGGGGCGCGCCCACGC